GTTTGTCCTGAAGAGACTTGATTGCTTGCCTTGATGGCTCCCAAGTGAATATCTTGCTTGTTTTTGTAATAGCCAAACAGTCCTGGCTATACTTCTAACAACACAGATTTGTATGTTCTTTTAGCGGTACATGGTACATTTAATATTCCTCTCCAGCAAAATGACTTCAATTCATCAAATCTTCTGTGGTCTTCTTATTCATAATCCAATTTTCACATGCATATGAGGCTATTGAAAATACCATGATTTGGGTCAGGTACACCTTAGTCCTCAAACTGACATTTTTGCTCGTGAACACTTTAAAATGATCTGGTATATTGTCTGATGCAATATGTTTGGTTTCTTTAAAAAAATTTTAATTGCAAATTGAGTGAAAGTTTACAAATAAGGTCATCAGTTTTACTTTCAACAAATCATACACATTGTTTCATCTCAGTGATTGCAATCCCTTCTATGCAACAACAGTTAATCCCATTTTTCCCCTGTAGTTCATATTGCCATTCCATCCACCTTTCTATTCCTTCTCAACTTTGTCCTTAAGAAAATATTACACTCTTGATTTTGACTGATGGACTATTCCCTGGTAAACATACCATACTAGTGTTGGCCTCTCTATATACCTGTCTACTGCTTGGCTTAAAATTGGGCCATGAAGGTGTATTTCTTTTCAGACCAGAAAGGTGTTTGAGGACCATAATCTCAAGTTCCTCCAGTATTTTTCTGACCAGTCTGGTCTTATTTTTTAAAAATAATTTTGAGTTTTGTTCCATTTTCTCCCACTCTACCTGGAACCCTGTAATGTGATCCCTTTTAGAGCAATTGGTAGTGGTAGTCAGGCACCATTTATTTTTTCAGGTATATACCTATCCTTTTCCTTCTGTGTATTTCTAAAAATTATGTCCAGTCCCATCCTAATTTAATGTCAATTAATGCCTGGTGTGGTCCTGTGGGTTAATGCGCTGAACTGCAAAGTCAGTTTAAACCGCATGGTCAGTGGTTCAAGCTCACCAGCTGCTCATTGACACTTAGCAGCAACAACAATGCTTACTGGCATGTTACCTGATATGAAACTTAATAACTGGTAATACCATAAAGGAGGAATCTGTTTTTTACATATCTTGCTTTGACCAGTGTAGAGCCTTTTGTTGTTGTTAAATGCTGTTGAGTTGGTTCCGACCCATATCGACCCTATATAGGGTTTCCTAGCTTCAATCGCTGACCTTGCTGTTCAAACTGACCTTACAATCCAGTGCATCAACCCAAAGCACCACACCAGGACTCCATTCATTGACAAAGATATGCTAAATTCTTTTTTTGAGTTTCCTGAAATTCATTTTCTTGAAGTATTTTTTTCAGATCTACTCTGTGCCTGTAAAATCGAAATATTGAGTCTGGGATATTCAGTGAATCTACAGTGTATCTGTTTTAGGCAGAGAGCATTTTATAATAAAAGAAAAAATAAATCTCTTTAGGTTCAAGACTGGATGCAGAGGTACTTAAATACTAAGGTAGGATGATTGATATAGTCTCTGATTTATTAAAACGTCAAGTGAATAATTAGAGTCCAACTTCTTGAGCTCAACTAAGCAAAAAAAACGAAACAAAAAGATAAAAAGGGCTTGCTCCCTCCATTTAAGAAAATTACTTTCTTGCCTCTTTGTGAGAGGAAAATAAGAATACTCTTTCAAAGATTTACATGTTGTTATTCTTCAGTCTGTTATGATGACAGATTCCAACAAAAGAACTTAAAGTATAGCTAATGTAACCTATCTATCACTCTGTCAGTTTGTTATACAGTGGTGGCTTTTATGTTGTTGTGATGCTGGAGGCTATGCCAGTGATATTTTAAATACCAACAGGGATACTCATGGTGATTAGGTTTCAGCTGAGCTTCCAGACTAGGACAGACTAGGAAAAAGGAGAAGATGACCACTTTCGAATAGTTAGCCACTACTGACCTTACGAATAGTAGTGAAACATTGTCAGGTATAGTGCCAGAATATGAAGACCTTATGAATAGCAGTGGAGCTTTGTCAGTTTAAGTGCCAGAAGATTAGTCCTTTAAGTTGGAAGGTACTCAAACTGGGGAAGAGCTGCCTCTTCAAAGTAGAGTTGACCACAATAATGTGAATGAAGCAAAGCTTTTTGGACCTTCATTTGCTGATGGGACATAATTCAAATATGGAGAAACAGCTGTAGAAATCCATTAACAATTGGAACATGGTATATACAATGTATGAATCCAGGAAAATTGGAAGTTGTCAAAAATGAAATGGAATGCATCAGTGAGCTGAAATGAACTGGTCTTGGCCATTTTGAATTCAACAGTGAATATAGTTCGCTATACCGGAATTGTTAAATTGAAACAGAATGGCATCACATTCATAGTCAAAAAGAACAGTCCC